CTGCAGTGGTATCATCAATCTCCTGCTCAGCATTATCACAGTCTCAGACCTCTCAGGAAGTATGAGGTCATCAAAAAGAAGAACAAGAAGCTCTTTCAACTCTAGTCAGACTATATATGTCAAAAGTATAACCAATAGAAACCCAGGGATAGCCACAACTGGGTACAGAGAAGATTGGAGGGTCACAGCTTGATTCCCAACATTGGTTATGGGAGCAACAAGGAAGTAAAGCCCATGCTTCCAGTGGCTTCTGGAAGTTTCTGGTCCCCAATGTCAAAGATCTGGAAATGCTGCTGCTGAGCAACGAGTCTTATTGTGCTGAGATTGCTCACAGTATTTCTTCCATGAACCTCAGAGCCATCGTGAAAAAAGATACCCTACTGGCCCTCAGAGTCACCAGCTCCAATGCCAGGCTGCACAGTGAAGGAAATGAATAGGAGATTCATGTGTCTACTTCATTTGTACTTAAATAAACCCAGAAAAACTGTATGCACACACACAGAGAAAATATATACTTCTTTTAGTTCTTTTTAAATTAATTCTGAGATGTATTTTTTCATATTTTGACATCTTTAGTATCATTTTGCATCCCATCTTTAGTAGTACACACATCATGGAGCAGTCTACAATTGATTGATTGACCTAAGAGTCTAGAAAAATGGTAGACCTGTTTGAGGGATATTATCCCTTCTAATCCCCAGCATCCAGTCAGTGACTGTGTCCCACTGATCGTACCTCCTACTTTCTCTCCAATTGGTTCCCCATGCCACCTTCTCCAAATCCCCATGACACTTGTTTAATTAAGGTCTCGATCATTTAGGACACATTCAGTGGTGATTAATAGAAACCCCATATCAAAGTGGCTTAAACAAAAAGTAAATATATCACTTAATGAAGTAAAAAATCTAGAAAGAGGGTAGGATTTATGCTTAACTGACTCATTAGTTTCTCTCCACCAGGCTTCATCCTAAGACTGTGTTCAAGATGGCGACTGGTATTCCAGGCATTGCCTACAAGCCGAGGGAGGAGGGCTCATCTTTTCTTGTGGCTCCTTTTCAGGAGAGAACAAGCTTTCTCCAGAGTCCCCCAGCTTCCTGTTCCTAATGTCTCATTGGCCTGAGATGTCACATGTGGCACT